ACTTCAGTTGTTTTACCCACGCAACGAGCTCCATTCATAAACCTCAGTGGGATTTATACATTCTCGGTGCATTCTTCACATTTTCTTCTCTATAGGTGACTGTAATTATTAACAATTTCAAATTTAGTCACGCAATTTCTTCCACCCTTGTTCGGAAGGGGTTGAGAAGATTTAGTTGAAATGTTTGCAAGGTTATATTAACTCAAAAAATTCATAAATAAATTTAATATCTACCCAATACGTTTTACAACAAAAATATTATACAAATCAAAAATCAACTGCAACCTGTCGAAGATAATTATGCATAAAAAGCTAGCGTCCGGTAAGTTTAAACCTTTGCACTCGAGAGGCGACTCTCAGTCACCACATGATTTGATGAAGTAAAATTATAAAATTTGATATTTAATACTGGGCCGTGTATAATGAATCGGTGCGTGAAATATTGGAATAAAAGAGCTTTGTTTCTCAATTTACTTATGATTTCTCTTCGAGTTAATTTCAAAAAATATCATCTTCGTCCAGTTAGAAAATGTTAAGTATTCGCAACGAAATACTTCCGAGTGCAAAGGGTTCATTCAAAACATTCCCCGCACGCGGGATTCATTCAGAATTCGTAAATTGGCGGGGCGTCGTCCTGTCATGCGCGCGCAGCGCTGCGATCGCGTCTCACGCGGTGCAGTCGCGCCACCGGCGGTCAGTCCGGCTACGACCGTCGCGCGACGTGGATCGTACGGTTGATCGCAGATGTCCATTGTTTCTACCTTTTGTGCCAAACGGGTAGAGGTTAACCGTACTAACCGTTCACTCTAAATCAGTCCCGATCCCTCGAAATCGACGAATCTCCCGCGTATGCACCTTTCGCGACCGAGAAGAACCATGGTTCGCGAGATGGAAGTGCGGTCGCGTGCCCGCCTCAAAACACCGACTAACGATGACACGTGAAAATCCGTGTCCTCCCTGCGCGAACAGTGTCGTCCGGCCGTAGATGATACGGGAAATCGTATCGGCGCACGATGCTCGAAGAGGTCGACGGTGGAAGTGCTCGATCGAGGTTCTCGCGAAGATAAGGACTATGGCCGAGCGGAGAGCAGCAGATAAAGAGTAGAACTGCGTGCCCTTGGTGAACTGTCAAATGGTTTGTGTTCCCCTTATCTCACTTTTCTTTTTTTTTCCGTCGGCGCACGTACAGCGTCCCGCCCAACTTTATCACCTGAAACACGACCTTTAGTGACCTTGAGGGTCTCGACGCTGCACGTCGATCGAGTACGTTTCCGAGTATCGAATGCCAACGATGTAACGGTCCATTAAAAAATCCGTTAACGCGAAGTTAAATTCTATTGTTACTTATTGCGTTTGTCTCATTGTGAGGTTAATTTAATTAATTTGTAAGTGAGATTCGCAAGTTGACCTTCGTGTATCATTGACCTGTGTCCAATGGTACTGTTGTCATGACCTAACCCCCATAGGAATGTTCTTCCTTGTGTAAAAATTGTTGCAATCTTTCGGTATTGTTATTTCGAGCTTCCAAGGTCTCGTTAAGTAACAAAGGAAAGGTTATGTATTTTTAACGAAAGATATTCTCCGATGTACACACTCTCGGTGGAGAGATAGGCCTAGTCAGTTTTTTGGAGACTAGTGTTTTAATTACGGTTTTAAATGAAGGCGTCCGTTTAACTCTTTGCGAACAAAGATGCTTTGAAATCTACAAAGTCTTCGACGAATGAAGTTAAATTAGATATGAATTACTTAATTAATAGGAGAAAAGGAAACTGCGAGCTGATCTCTTGCTGTCGGAGTAATTAAATCGCTTCTCTGCGACTTAGTCTTCCAAATACGAAAGGGTTAAATGTTATACATACTTTGGCTTGTTACTGTTATTGTCAAATGCTGTGATAAGGAAATTTGTTTAAATATAAGAAAGTATCTCTTTTGTTCTCTCACGTTCTCTTTTGTTCATTTAATTCTATATTAACCCTTTGCACTCGAGAGGTGACCCTTAGTCACCATTTGACATAATAAAATTGTAAAGTGTTATATAAAATATTCAGTTTTGTTTAATGCATCAATATGTGAAATATTTATATAAAACAGCTTTGTTCCTTAATTTATGTTTCCTCATTAGTTTCCTCATTCAAATAGTGTCTGTTTCTAGTGAGAAGCTTCCGAGTGCAAAGGGTTAATTACATTGCCCGATTAATTTTCTCAATGTTCATCCTTTCTCTTGTTTCTCTTTCCACTAAGAACAATTCATCTAATTTGTTTATCACTATTTTGTAGCCAGTTATTTGACTAGTTAGGAGTGCCGGTATAGTCACTGTTAAATATAAAAAGTTCAGCACCGATCAAGCGTATCGACGAGAACATGTTAAAAAATCAAGAAAGTCGAGTTAACATTGTTGACCGGTCACGAGTTAACCCGTTCCGTGCCACGGAAACTTCGGCTACATTTAGCTTATAAACTGTATTGAGTTTTAAAATAAAATAATAAGTTATATTCAAATTGCTGGTCATTTTTATATATTTTGATATCGTTTCTTTATATTTTCATTGCTTTGTATACCGCCGACCGTGACCATATATTCATTAAAAATATTATATTGAAGTTTCTGATCATTTTTATATATTTTGATATCGTTTCTTTATATTTTCACTGCTTTGTAACGTATACCACCGACCGTGACCATGTATTCATTAAAAATATTTTCTCATAAACACTGGCGTGTACCACGCGTGGAAGTTTATTTGAATCGTTTCACTTCCGTATTTAATTAATAAATAACAACCGGTGACATCAGATAGCTTCTGCATGGAATTGCCGGTCAACAATCTGTTAACCGATTTAGCCAGTGAGCAGTCGACGCTCAACACCGGTGCAAAGGTTGAAGCGAGACGGGAGAGTGCACCACAGTGTCTCCCGTGTTTACGTTTCATCAGCGCCAATTTTTCTCCGCGAATATTCTCGCGGGACGCGTCGACGCACAATGAGACGTGTTCCCATCGGTTCCGTTGACCACAAGGCTCGATTTACGTAACGAACGGGTTGCGAGACCGCATTGCTGGCATATCTTTTTCCTCGAGAACGTCCGAGCACGCGCACGTTCGATCCGTCGCGATGTGTCGATACTGTCGATCGCTCTTGAAAATCGTTTCGATCTTTAACCGTTGGCACTCCAGACGGTCTTGTAATCTATCAGCAACTGCAACTGATTTTTATAAATATTCAAAGCGAAAATGAGAAATGCAATAACGTTTCTTAGATCTTTTATTTGCTTCTTAGTGCAAAATTTGGACGTGTGAGAAATCGAATAATTGTAGAGTAGTTTCTTTAAGATTCATTGAAATATTTAATATTATTACTGGTGCAATATTGGAGCCTACAGAGTTCAAAGGGTTAACCGTTAGCAATCCTGTGTCGAGTCAGACTCGACATATTTTATTGCAACCTCTACCTGTTTTAACAATTTTTTCTGTATTTATTTGTAGTAGAATTGTACCATTTAAAGGTAACGTTTCAGTTACTGGCAAATATTCTTGAATAAATAAATAGAGCGTCATATTAAGCTGTAATTGAATGAACTAACAACGACGTGAACCTCCGAATTTCTTTCGCGTGTTTTAACAATCAATTATTTTCAGTTTCCTCGAGAAAACTTTCAAGAGTTAATAGTTTTCGAGCTGGAGTTCTCTCGATCGCCGGTTGAAGAGAATCGGTTTGAATTTGGCGGGCATTTTGAATCCGACCGTTAAATACGTGGCTGTTTACGCGGATTTCTAGTGACGGGGATAAGTTTTTCGGCCGGAGTAAATTAACCGTGAAAGGTCGACCGCTTTCGAGCGAATTTTCGAGATCCGGGATCAGCTGAGTTGATCTGCTTCTCGAGGCAATTATTAATGAAACACGTGGGTGTAGAACGGCGTTCGATGTATTAGTGCGCGCAGTTCGAAGTACGGTGAACGGTGACTGCGATCTCCGTGACTGCAAAAATTAAAGAGCGTTGCGTGCTGGTTAACTCGAGCGAGATCGTAAGAATTGCACCGTAGAATATTCGCGTAGAACACACTAATAATTCTCAGTAAGTGCAACGCGTCCTATAATATAATCGTTGCGTTAACCCTTTACACTCTGTAGGCTCCAATATTGCACCAGTTATAATATTGAATATTTTAATGAATCAAAGAAACTACCCTAAAATTATTCGATTTTCCACACCTAAATTTTGTACTATGGAAAATAGAAGACCGACGAGATGTTATAGCATTTCTCATTATCACTAGGAATACTAAAATTAGTTGCAGTTGCTGATAGATTGCAAAACAACCTGGAGTACTAAGGGTTAACCCTTTGAACTCTGTAGGCTCCAATATTGCGACAGTTATAATATTGAATATTTTAATGAATCAAAGAAACTACCCTAAAATTCTTCGATTTTCCACACCCAAATTTTGTACTAAGGAAAATAATAGATCGAAGGAATGTTGCAGCATTTCTTTTCACTGGGAACACTATAAAAATTAGTTGCTGATAGATTGCAAAACAGCCTGGAGTGCTAAACGATATTACATGACTATATATCACTCGAACTGCAGTTTTATAGTAGACATTTTATTACAAGAACGTTGATCTGTCGTGTAACTGTGACGTAGTATATAAATACATTACAGTCACACCGCGTGCCTTACATAACTGTCACATTACGTCGCAGTATAATGCAGAATGCTGTAGGAAGCACAGCATCTTGACTATAATACTGCTCAATTACGTTACAGAGGGACTGTAACGTAAAACTGCATTGTAGTCTGGTTAGAGCACACCGACCATTAGTCCACAATAAAATGGCTATACCGAAGTACCATCGCAATGCTGCAATGTCAATCTCTCGATGACTATAATGCCAGAATAATAGTCTATTGTGATTAGTCTAACGACCACAGAGTCGCGTTTGTTCGAAAACGGTTTATTGGAGCGGACGTTTCAAGGTTTCTGTGCACCTTTGTTGCAGATGTCGGAGTTCCCAGTGGAGGGAGGGGAAAACGGCGACATGCACTCTGTCATGGAGACTTTCCAGAAGAAGAACAACATGGTGACCGGCAGGAGTCACGTCACGCACCATCCGCAGGTCACCTCGTCGTCGCAGGTAAACCTCGTTAGAATCTCACCCGTCCGAAGATCGTGAATCTATTCATTCCAATTATCCTCGTTACCGTCTCGTCACTGGCTTCACCTTGTTGCATCTCATTTCACCGTGTCAGATGTCATTAACATTTATTTTTATCTCTTAGCTCTGGACTTTTCAGTTATCGACAAGCAGTTCCAATAGAGAAATTCACGTATAAACATTTAAGCGTATAAATATTATAATAAGTTTAACATGAAAATTTTACAGTTTATAACGATGAATTTTAAATGACTACATACAGGTCTTGAATATTAAGGGGTATATTTACACAGAGAATTGTATCGTTTGATATCGAGTGAGGTGAAGGTTAATAACTTGTTTGCTAATCTATTTGGCTAATTATGGAGTAGACGAGTTCAGATTACAAGATGTTGGGGATCGGAAAACGTGTCCGGGACTTTCTATTTAGTGCTCACGAGACGACCTTTAACCCTTTGCACTCGAGAGGTGACTCTCACCAGCTGATTTGATGAAAACTATAAAATTCGATATTTAACCCCTTGGCGTATTTACTTTCGTTGAGCTCGTAATATTTTACTATCAATTTGTAAGAAATACAAGGAAATTTTCCGTTCTACTTCAGGTGGAAATTTCATTTGAAGGTAATACATTAACCCTTTGCACTGGAGAATATTTTTCTCGACAAATATTCATTCTCTGATGAAATATCAATGATATTATTTGCAACTAACACAAAGAAATACCTTGCATAAATTAACTGAAAGAACTATTTTATTTTGATGTTCCATGTGGCGATACATTATGTAAAATATACCATTGAATTTTAAATTGTATCATTTTGCCAAATGATACAAGTGGTGAAATCAAATGACTTAAAGGCGCCCCTCGAGTGCAAAGGGTTAATAATAACAAAATAGTTGTTTGCTTTGATCCATGGGTAAGCAACATTGAGTCTTGTTAAATTAGAAATCTTCATCACGTCATTGTAGGCAAGGGGTTAATATTGAATCATGTATACCACATCAATTTGAGAAATATTGAAACAAAATATCTTTATTCCTCAATGTACATGCTCTTTCTCTTCGAGTTTCACAAAATATTTTTATCTCATCAGAGAATGTCAAAATATTTCTAATGAAAAATTTCCGAGTTCAAAGGGTTAATCATCGGTAAGTTCGGGAGCCGTCGCGTCATTGTAAACTATACGTCGACGTCGCGACGCGTCGCCCACACCTTGCCCGAATTTCCTAAACCCGGAACATTCGGATTATTCACCCCCTTTGGTTGAGAGAATCTCCAAAATTAATCCGCGCTCGTCATCGTTCGCGTCGCGATTGGTCCACGTGGCCGACGAAGACGCTGCAGACGGTTGTTTACACGCCGTCCGCATAATCACCGTCAAATCCGTTCGATACCTCGAACGCGTGCGACTCTATTTATACGGTCGCTGGTTTCGACTACAATTCAACCGAAATAGACGCGGTTCTAGCTGGCTGTCGCAATCGACAAGGTGTTGGCAGCCGTCCGCCGTGCAGGTGGGAAACGTTGAACCCTCTTGGAATTGTGTTACTGATTCTGGTTCCTCGAAACGGATTCGGGACACCCTGTACGTTGAACAAGGTATTCGGGATTCAGCAGGTTTCTGGAAGAAGTTGAATTGACTTCTAAAAATACGAATTCGGAGCGACATTGTTGAAGATATGACAGTTATGTTGACACATTGCGTACCGACTAATTTTCAGAAAACTGAACTGTTGGCAATTTTCACTGGGGTCAACTTATATCACTGTACATAGAAAAACTCAGATATCATATTATTATGTAATATATTTTAAATAGATAATCGATTCGAATTAATTCAAATTAATCTATATAAAAACGAGATTTCTTGTTACCGGTACGCAATGTGTTAACTGTACCTTAAACAAGGTATTCGGGATTCAGCAGACTTTTGGAAAAAGTTGAATTGACTAAAAATACAAATTCGGAGGAAAATTGTTGAAGATGCGACAGTTGTGTTAACTGTATCTTAAACAGGGTATTCGGAATTCAGCCGGTTTCTGGAAAAAGTTGAATTCACTAAAAATACAAATTCGGAGGGACATTGTTGAAGATACGACGGTTAGGCAATGATTCACTGAAACGGCGGCATAGATCTGTAGCGAGTTATAGATCCCCTTTCGTTCCTAGAGAAAGATTGATTAAACTCTTCCGTTCTTAACGATTATCAGCGATGAGGATTGCAGAACGGCGAAGGCACTTCTTAAATCGGTTCTCCAGAGGATCTTGACACGCGATCTATCAGCGACGCGATTATGCAATGATACAGAGTCCACGTGTTTCAGCGCCGCCCACTGATACCGTTATCATCTCCCAATTACGCCTCAGTCTTGCGTGGATTCGTGAATCGAAATCCTAAATTTGAAACCTTCGAATCGCAAGGTGTTCCATAGAATTCTAAATTCTCATATTCCAAAATCCACATTTCTCAAGGAACCGTGCAACCTTAAACTCTTCGATCTTGAAACTTATCAAAATCCTCTAATTGATAGATCACGTCAATCTCTCAGCAGATTTTATTCTTACAAACTTTCGAAGGATCTCTAATTAATTCCAGAACCCTGAAGATGAAATTTCAAAGAAACCCACGAAATCCGATGAATCCTGCTAGAGAATTCCGGTTCAGAGACGCGACGCGGCGAGATCTCGTCGCGCGGATGTCGGCGATCGGCTCGTTACTTCTATCGAGTTGAAATAATTGAATAATCAGGGACCGGTAGGCATACCCACGGCTTTACGTAATGTCGCCCACGTGAATTTCCTCCCCCCCTCGGCCGGAGAGGCTAAACTTCCAGGTCCGGGAACCTTGAGGATCGACTTTCTCAAGGCTCGCCGGCACCGTTGTTTCTCTTCGACGTGGCACCGAATGTTTGGCACTATCGATTCCCCCTCGTTTGGACATTTACCAGAACGCGCCGAACGACGTCGCGTTTCTTCGACGTCCTATTAATTGGACCGACGGCCGAGACGACGAGCGAACACTTTCCGCGGGTATTTTCGGACGCTTTTCCGCGTTCGTCGAAACCGTTCGAAGCCGCTCGTTTCGTCGGGCGTTCGAAAGTCTTTCGCCGATTCGCTCGAGGAGGTTTTCCGAAGATTCCGCGTTTCCCCCGTTCCTCCGAGTCGCGCGCTTGGCCGCGCGAGAGCTTTGGCGTGCCTTCAAACGGTTTATTTTCACCCCAGCGCGAACAGAGTTGTTACTCTTTGTTGCCGCTGAAGAGTTGTTGCGCTCCCTTGACGGTTCTTAGTTGACGACCGGTTGTTAAACTGTTTTCTTTGAACAATGATTCGTCGATTCCTCGAGTGTTGGTTATGTTGACACTTAGGCAACCGTTTAAAAAGAACTATAACTACGACCTCTTTCATTATCTTCGATTAAACTCGTTCAATTAATTTGGTTGAAAACTTTGCTTTTGTAAAAACAAGTATTTGATGAATTTCAAATAATCCCACTTCGAGACTTACTGAATAACAAGAGAAAAGATAAACAGAATAAAAGTCAATACGTTGCTGAGTGAATAATTAATTTAGCGATAGATCAGTGAGATGCTTCCAGCTAGGGTTGCCATATTTTAGGGTTTCCAATGGAATGTTTTATTCCGGAAACAATTTCATGATTTAATTATATTGACAATTTTGTGTTTATTACATTTGACGAAGATTTTTATTAAATGAAATAATAGGTACATAAAGGTTTCTATTAATATATTAAAAATTGAAGAGAGAAGAGATTGTGTCTGTTATCTTATCTTGTGTACAAATGTAATATTAAATGATCAATGTTTCTGTTCCGTTTGGGAAGACACAGTTCCACTGTTTTCTTCAAATGTATCCGGAATTTCTCTGCGCGTTGTTTGTTTAAAGAGACCACTTGCGTTTAACGGAACCGAGGCGAGAGGTTCGAATACGCACACCGGGTGCTCCGGAAGTAACTAACACCGCTCGGCTACGAAAATCGCGAAATATTACGAGCAGTTTCAATCGTAACATAAATATTGTACAAATGAAGATCAATGAAATGATATTAAATATAAACAGTATCAGGTAATGTGTCACTAGGTCTCAAAAATGGCTGACGATAATCGGTTACAGAAATTGAAAAATATTACGAGGAACAGATTTCGGTGAGAAAATAAACATGCAAACGAAAGTCACGGAAAAATATCGACAAAGTGTTTCACGGGAAAAGTATCGAGCAATGCACACAGGGTGTCCTAAGAATAAATGAGAATACACTTGATCGTTAGAATCGCTAAATATCACGAGTAACAAATTTCGCTGACAATTAAATTAAAAATAAATGCATATAGTACAAACTAAAATCAGGGGAAAGTGACTAAAACATGATTCGCGAAAAAGTATCGGATAATATAACGCACAGGGTGGCGAAATAAGTATTATCGAAACATTGAAAGTCACGGAGAAATGACGACGAAATAATTCTCGGGAAAACTATCGGATAATATAACGCGTAGGGTGTCCCAAGAATAATCAAAAATATTCTTAATCATAGGAATCGGAAAATATCACGAATAAAACAATGTGACAAAACAAGTATTACCGAAATATTGAAAGTCACGGGAAAATGACGACGAAATGATTCGCGGGAAAAGTATCGGGCAACGTAACACAAGGGGGTGTCCTAAGAATAACCGAGGAAACACTCGATCGTCGGAATTGCGGCATATTACGAGCAACGGATTCCGCCGACAAAATAAACATTATGTAAACGAAAGTCACAGAAAAGTGACGACAAAGTGATTCGCGGGAGGAACGGTCAGCCAGGAGGGTGGGGGCGTGAAGCCGGGCGGGCCGCGCGCGTTGGGAAAGGGGCGAGAAAGAGGCGAGAGGCGAAAAAGACGAATAGGCGAGAGTGAGTCACCCCCCCCGTGGATTTTAAATAGAACGTAAACGGGTTTTGACTCGGCAGATGCTGACGACGAACCAGAGCCAGAGCAGCAGCAGCAGCTCGAGCAGGGTGGCCAAGTCCTCTCAGAGGATCCTAACCTCGTCCTCGTCGAGTGAGATGAAAGCTAGCTCTATGAAGAACGACCTCAGGGAACTTCAGCGTGGCATATCTGAGATGAAGAACAATATTTCGACGAACTTCTCGCAGCGATTGCGCAGCAGCGTGGAGAACCTCGTTGACAGGTGGGCGCTCTTACCTTTCTTATCTCGTCCTCGTCGTTACCGTCGGCACTGTACACACTAACACACCGGCTCGTATCTAGCATTGACGCGTAACTGTAACCTTGAGAATCGTCTTTTGTCTCGAGCTAATGCACCGAGCACGTGGCGCTCCGTCGTTCGGAAGCGAGATTAACCCTTTGCACTCGAGAGGTGACTGTCAGTCACTTGATATTTAGTATTTTAAATGAAACTTTGTATTGCTGTGTGAAGTATTTGGCTTTGTTGCTTAATTTATCTGTGAATTATCGTTGAATTAGTTTCAATGTCGTGTGTATTTCGTCGAAATGTTGAATATTTCCAGTGAAAATCTTTCGAGCAAAGGGTTAACCCTTAGTAGATGATTTTGTAGTCTCCCTAGTACGAATGAGAAATTTATATTGTAACGTCTCTTAGATTCCTTTGTTTTCTTTCTTAATGCGAAATTTTGATGTATAGATCCAGTAATCTTAGGGTAGTAAATTTATTCATTAAAATAAATAGTATAAATGGTGAACCTAATGGTGAGTCATAGTGGAGCCTCAGAGTGCAAAGGGTTAACACATTGAACGCCGTCAGGGTTGCTATAGATGATTATTTGAAGATATTTCTATGTTATAGATAATACTAGCTAATGTGCAATAATAACAATGCAATCCAATCGAATGATTTAATATTATATTTGTTCTATTTCGAGTATTTTGTGAAATTTTGCAGCGTTCGTGATAATTTATTTGACGATTGAAAAGAATTCTACAGATCTCAACGTTTACAGATTAATGATTAAAGATTACAGATTAATGATTACAATAATTCATAATTCTCCAGTCCCCGCTTTGAAAAGTCAGAATCTCATTTCCTAGACACTCACCAAAACGAATACCATTTGAACTTAACATTGATTACACCGAGCAAAGATTCTCCAATTTTCAGTAGCAATGCCTAGAATAAACATTAATTTCCAAAACAATTGACGAGGCCCGGTTCCTCTAAAAATTAAGGAACAACATCGCTAATTAGAGACCGCCCTGCTCTCCCAGGTTTCGTAACGAAGCATCAGAACGCTTGTTCCCGGCGACAAGGTAGAAAATAGTCCCGAAAGTCCCTAGAAGTAGATTCTCATGATGCTCGCCGCGTAATCACCGAACTCGCGATCCAAGAATTATTTATAAACGGGTATTCCCGTTTTAGCCTCGTCCATCGCGATTATTTCCGAGCGTGTTCGGCCGCGTTGTGCCCGCGTCACTGCCGTGAACGTTGCCGCCGGCTCCTAACCCCGCGGCCACGCGACGCGTTGTCGCTGAACGAGCGTTTTCTGTTTGATCGCAGGGACGGGAATGGAACGGAGGAAGGCGACCTGACGGAGCCGTTAGTGACGTTCCCGGATCCCGACACACCGCCCCCTGCCACGGGCACAGTCACGTTGACCGGGGGCTCGCCCTCTCAGCTGAGTTCGTTGAACTCGCTGAACAACCTTCACAACATGAGCCCGCCGATTAGCATGTCGAACATCTCGAACATGACCAATCTGCCTGCTGGACAGGAGACGATGAAGTTCGAGCAGAAGAAGATGACGTCTGCCTCGAAGACGAAGGTGAGGGTGAGATTAATACGTTGCGTACCGGATAATTTTTAGGAAATTGAGTTGTTGGCAATGTTCAGTGAGGTCAACTTGTATCGCTGTATATGGGAAAAGTCGGATATATTGTTGTGTAATATATTTTAACACCAGAACTACCATTCCAGTCAAAATGACTGGTTTCGATGTGTTTGTTTAGCAATTACTGATATCTTAAAAGCATTCAGTATTTGGAATGATCTTGATAATAGGTAGTTTCATTTGAATACTATAATGAATGTCTGAAGAAACTGAAAATAATCTGTTGTCACAATTTTTATAGGGATTATTAATCGTATGAAATGCTCGGTTCTAGTGTTAAATAGATAATAAATTCGAATGAAATTTTATATTTTTTCAATACTCTGGTAATTAGCGAAGTTGCATAACTAAGTGTCTTTATATAAAAATGAGATTTCTTGTTACTGGTATGCAGTGTGTTAATTTCTTGTTGTCTTGTTTATTACTTTTGGACTAGATAAACAATGGTTGGAGCTGTGAAATGCAGAAATGGGATGATCAGTCAGTTAAACAATGATTATTTGAAAAGATTTACATGTTATAAATAATGCCTAATGCGGTGACATTCAGCTAGATGAACGTGCAGTAATAATAATGCAATTCAATCAAACGATTTGGTTTTTCTACTTGGGTAGTTTGCTCTATGAAATCGTGCATTAACATGTTAATACTTTGTTGATGGTTTTTTTGACACCAGATAGACGAGATGGATAGTTGTAAAGTATAAGAGAGCTGAAGAGATTATTTCAGTTTGGGAGTAATCAATTTTTAATGTTGGAAGACTAGATTGAAGCTGAACGTGTACCTTTGAAGTAGATTGGGAATGTTATTGATCAGACTAGTCGGAGAATTCTTTTTATGGGCTATATAGTTCGGCAGTTAAAATGTTAGACATGAAACACTGACGTGATTTTGTGGATTCGACAGATTTAGGCGATATATTTATAGGTTTGTAAGTAGATTAAGAACGCCACTGGTCAGACCAGCTCGTAAATTGCATTTCTCAGAGTATTTTAAATCGATGACGGAAACACAGTGATTTGATGAAGAATCTGAACTCGTGTAACACCTCACCACGCATTGAAGTCTCCAGTACCAATCCATTTTTGCATAATAATTCTACATAACAATCCTTACTTCCAACAATCAGAAGAATCACTAATTAAACAATAAAACAAAACACCTATATGCTTGCTACCAACATAAACATGCTTCTCTCCACAATCACCTCTCCAAACTTTTTCCAAAAGTAGAAAACAAACTGATAAATACTAGAAAAAGGTCAAACGTCGACGGATTAACAATTAGCAAAACGGTCGAACGTCCTTGCTACTAACATCGCAACGAGGAAATAGAAGCCACGATGCATTACCATTGATTTAGTAACCGCAGCGTCCAACATTCTCGGATTCTCGGTCCCAAAACCGTCTAAAGCGTTGGTGCTGCTTGATTTATGGTCCGAAGCCCGGCAGCTTCTCAAAACGGCGACAATTTTAGAATCGACCGGCGTCCCGCGTTCGATTCCCAAACGCGTAATAATCGATGCCGCGATCGGTCGGCGACGCGAGGCTGCGCAACGTTTGGCCGAAGGTGCGGTTTCCTCTGGGGTAGTCTAGGTCAAGGACTCCCACGGCCATCTCTCAGGCAACGCCGACGAAGCCAGCAACGCGTTCCTAGAAACTGCCGTTTGAGGACGCAGTTTGAACTTGTCACCCCGTGATCCACCGAACTGTCCTCTATTCCGTTCGTTTAACGGAAATCCTCGATTTCAGCGACAGTTTTATCCCTTCCGCTGGGAACTTGGAAGCTTTCTGGGTTAATTGTTTGAGGAACTAGGGATCCATGATGATGCACGATACGTACTTTCGTGTCAGTTATTTTTATCGCTGAATGTCACGCCCTGCAGTCGACAGCTGATCTCTTTCCGCTTGGTTTCTATCTTTAACTTCACTTCCGTCACACGCGGGCGTTGAAACGCTCGTCTCTCTCTCTCTCTCTCTCTTTCCCGCCGTCCGCTCTCGCTTCTGTCTCCTTCTCTCTATCTCGCCGAGTCCCATCGACGAGCGAGGTCAGTTTCGCCGATTTTCTTCGGAATTTTCGCTATGTATACTCTGAATCAAAAATCGGAGAATTGAAAATGCTTGACTGTGTCGGCTTCTGCTACTTATGCAACAGTTCAATTCTCTCGAATCTCGTGAAACTTAACTCCGCAACGAAATGTCTTTCTATGAACTCTGATTTCTAAGTAAAGAATGATCTCTCCTTTGTTCAATTAATCATAAAATTTGATATTCAATATTCAACTGTATATAATGCATCGGTGTGTGAAATATTAAGATAAAAAGCTTTGTTTTTCAATTCACTTGCAATTTTTCTTTGAGTTAATTTAACCCTTTGAACTCTGTAGGCTCCAATATTGCACCAAGAATAATATTAGATATTTTAATGAATCTTAAAGAAGCTAGCCTAAAATTCGATTTTTCACACATCCAAATTTTCCACTAAGAAGGAAAAAAGATCGAAATGTTGCATTTCTTATTTTCGCTAGGAATATAAAAATTAGTTGCTGATTACAAAACCATCTGGAATGCTAACAAGACGTTAACATCATTCAAATAATCAAGATCACAATTTCAGACTCTGCATCTCACAGCGACCGAGAATTCATTTTCCACTGTTACCGCTTGAAGTTTCGAGGGCAACTTCGAAATAACGTTTTATTACGCAGTTCAGCGTTGATCATCTTCGTTCGCGGTATCGCGAAGCGGAGAGGCGAGCAAACAACGCGATAAAGTGTTACGCAGATGACACAGCCGAAATCCCGATAACGGTCCGCGAGATAAGGTTGTGATTTTTGTCGTCAATCGGACGCCTCGCGAGCGTTGTTCGCGTCTATTTTACTTTCCTTTCCACAATGGTGGTAACCAGCGGCGGTTCGAAACGGTTTCAGGTTGTCACGGACGGTTTCAGCGCCGAGAAGGCGATCGCGAACAGCGCCGAGATGAGAGCTTTACAAGCGGGCGACGTCTCGTACAAGGAGCAAAGCGCCGCGACGGCAGCCAGGGCGCGCGTGGAACTCGACGGCGTCTCGGCGGAGAAGAGCGTCGCTGCGGCGAGGGTGAGTCAGATCGACGGACATTCCTCGCTTTGTAAAACAACCCTTAAGGTCAACCCTCCGCGATGGAATGCCATCGCGATGGAGACGCGGCTCTGAGGTCTGGAATCGAGAACTGCGAACGGACAATTTAATTATAGTATGTAGTTTTGATAATTAAATTGTCACATGGTCTAGTATATAATTCTGATGTGTGAGTCTTTTTATGGAAAGAGGTTTTAGCAGTTTACCAAATTCCAGATCGCAGAGTTAAGATTAAATGAATTTAAGGGTTTGCTTATGATTTTGTAGAGTTTCATTAATACGTTTGAGGGTATTTTATTGATTAAGTGGATATTAATTAATCCATTAAGTAATTGTAAGGTCCTTATAATGTGCGTATCAGTTTTATCAAATTTAATTACAAAATTGAGGGTGTTTTATTAGTTAAATGAAGTTGAGGATTAATGGTTTATATCGGCCAAGTTTTTTATCGAGAATTAAATAGTTGATTTCTTTTTGAGTATGATCCCGTAAATTGGAAATTTAATAAGTACATTATTGACATCAACATTATTCCCTGTAGTCGATTATCGAGTTACTTTGGTAATCAAAATGTAATTATACCACGAAGATCATAATCACGAGTTTTCATCCGAAAGTTTCGTTCGAACGAGAAACACAAAGGCTGTCGATTCTTTTGAAATTCCATGGAATGTAAATACGTCTTTATCAAACGAGAATATGCGTAGTCCGCTATAAAAAGCGGCTTATCATTTAGTAAATCCGGACTTAGAATCTTAAAGCCGAGAAGTTTTATCTGGAGGGAACGAAGAAAATGAAGGCTGTACACTTGGAAATTATATTCTAGATTAATATCTAGAAATTTATATAAAATAATCCAGCTTTCTTATACAAATTACGATACATCCATAACCATATCAATAACTAATAATTGAAACGGACAACGTTAACACTAGAATTATCAAACACTTCAACCGACTTTTCAACATTTCTTTATAAAACTTACAACCGTGTATTCATTAAGATTTGACTCATATTCCAGTACAAGTATTACTAAATCAATTTCATTAACGATTCCTCACAGAAGCATCTGTACCATTTCAGTAATTGTAACAAAAATCAGGAGTGTCATTTTAACCCATTCCTGGCGTCTTCTTTGCAGTTATGAAAAAGAACAGATGTTCCTCTGAGAAATTATTAACGAACTTAGCAATACGCAATCTGAATTGTAAAATAATTAAAGTCTCCATAGATGTATTCTGGGAGTTTCTATAGAGGAATCTCGAAAAGTCAATTTCACCTCTCGAGTCAACTACTCGGTAGTTCTAGTTAAAAACTCCCATTGTTTCCGAATTTCTCCACGGTCCTACTATTCGCCGAGCAGACGCGCCGGGCAGAGTTGAAAGAGTTGATTTGCCGAGGAACGAGCGATCCTCCGCTCATTTAGGCGGCAAAAAGGATCGAAAGGAAGGCGGTGCTCTGGGTGCGGCCTAAACTCGACTCGCGTAGAATAGTTTGGCACGAAACTCCGGGGTCGTTGACACGATCGTCACTTCGCGATGACGATCTTCGGGGGCTGATGTCCTCGCCTGATACCGGATCAACAATGTCTTAATTAACAAACCTCTATCACGGATTCTTTCGCAGAGGAACAATCTGGGAGAACTGAATGCGACGTGCTTCACCCTTTGTGGAAGCTTGTTATCCTAATCAATTCAAATCTCTAGCCCTTCCATCCCAAGCTGGGAGAGAGCAGAGAAATTGAGACCCAATTAACCCATTCGCATCGTAAAAATTCCCGCGTGAAACGAAAGTAATCTCGCGGAAATATTCCGGAAATGTTGCAATAATGTCCGTACGTGGTGATAAGTCGACAGTTTATCAGTGGCCGACGAACGGAGCCTCGGTGCTCGATATTGAAGCGTGTCCGATGAGTAGACCGCGCGATCGGTCTTCTCCTGACCGGGTTAAGGTCGTTGTCCATCTCAGAGTTACAATGACATTGCTATTCGATAATGAGAGAGATTGTCGAAGAAAATGGAGAAAGTGTTAGGCACGTAGAAGTTTGAAATTGAACTTTTTATCGCGTAATAACGTGTCAGGTGATGATTACAGCACACTTAGTGATAGATCATTCGACAGCTGAGTTGAGGTTTGGAACATTAAATCTCTCTATTTGGAAAACTAACTTGCATACAAGTGATCATCAGCTAGTTTTCTTTTCTCTGTTGTTTAAGCAGTTGATATATAAATTTAGCTTCATCTGCTGAAGATTGAATGCATTAAATTTCCCTATTTTAAAGACTAAGTCTCAAACAAATCGTTGAATTATTCAAACAACAAAAAATCATCAGTTAGTTATCTTTTTTCCATTGGTTAAGCAATTGATATATAAATTTAGCTTTATCCACTGAAGATTTAACGCATCAAATCTTCCTATTTGAAAGACTAAGTCTCAAACAAATGATCTAATTACTCAAACAAAAGATCATCAGCTAGTTTTCTTTCTATCGTTTGAGCAATTGATATATAAATTCGTTTTTATATAATTTTTATGTTTATATAATTTCGATATTAAAAGTCGCAAAAAAATCATTGAATTATTCAAACAACAAAAAATCATCAGTTACTTGTCTTTTTTCTATTGTTTAAGGAGTGTAAATGATCGAACTACTCAAACAAGAGATCAACTTAATTTAGCTTCATCCGCTGAAAGTTTAGTACATCTCAAACAATCTTGAAAAAGTGGAACAATCGGACATCGTGCGCGTCGACACGGTAACACGTAAGCCATCGAAGCTGCAGAACCGTTAATTAGAAAGACACCTTTTACCCTTGCGCCGTTCCGCTAGACATCAAGTCATCTCGCAACTGTACTTACGCGACGCCGCGCCGCGGCACGCTAAATTTAACCGTTTTCAGCCGGACCCGCGCCCGTAACGCTGTTTGAGTCATCGACGGAATTTTTGACGCTTGGCCAATTACTCTTGCCGCGAGGCACAATGTTGCCCCGTGTTCCTCCCGCTCCGCCGCGATCCAATGATCCATCCCCCCGATAAGGAACAAAATATTCCGTCAGTTTGTGTCTCGTCAGACGTAAGACACCGCGCTTCTTCTTCGTTCTTGGAACACGTTTGGAAAGTTTTAATTAGTTCTCGGAACGCGAGTCGGATTATCGTTCCTCGTTCGTCTTGAAACTTTACTGGAGTCAGTAGCGAATCATTGTAAATTCCTGTGCTTTGCGTGTTGATTAATATTTGCTGCTAATGATATTCCCGGGTTATTAATGGTTGTTTCGTACTTATTTAGGAAGTTTCTAGTCTACACAATTTCTACTAACCTCGATTTACTTAGATGAAATTTAGTCCCTCAGATTTCTTGTTTTTTAAGAATTATGGAATAGTGTGTTATTGAACGTGATTTTATAAACTGATATTCAACGAACAATTTAGCACTAGAACTACCGTGCATTTGTCGAATTCGATATGTAATCCTAAAAATTGCAACAATAGATTGTTTCGATTTCCATAGATTCTTTCTCTAATATTTAGGTGAAACTATTTATTTTCCAAATCATTTCGCGTACTGAATAATTCGAAAGTATCACTGATCACAAAATAAGCGAACTAAATTGTAACAATACATTGTTTCGATTTCCCCAGATTCTTTCTCTAATATTTAAGTGAAACTATTTATTTTCCAAATCATTTCCAGTGAAACTATTCATTCTTCAAATCATCTCCAGTGGAACTATTTATTTTCCAAATCATTTCCACTGAAACTCTTCATTTCCCAAATCATCTCCAGTGAAACCATTCATTCTCCAAATCATTTCCATTGAAACTATTCTCCAAATCATTTCGCGAATACTTCGAAAACATCGCTAATCACGAAATAAGCGAACCAAAACCGATCGGTACCAGTTAGGTTAATGCCGATAATGGCGAGGAATGTCTCGGACGGAGAAAAATGTAAACGCGAGGCACGGTTATCGAATTCGCCGCACGCTATAAGCGTTTCGCCGCGATTAATGGGACTTTCGCGTGTCCTCCCCTGGACTCAAAGGCCGAGCGAAAGGGCAACGTGTTTCCCCAGGTGCCCGTGGATCGTGGCTCGCGCGAAATCGCGCGATATAATCGCGGCGGAGCCTTGACCCGCGCGGAACACGCGCCGATTCTTTTTTTTTTCCCCGCTCGCGAATCCGTTCTCACGACACGCCGCTTCCACGATCGAAATCTGCGCTTACGGTAACTTGTTCCACACTTTTTTCGAGATCTCGCCGAGGACGTAACCTTTCAACTCGACGCGTCTTCGGTCCTTTCATTCTCGCACCGTGTGATTTCCTTCGGTTTGCTAATTTATCTCCCGCTTTGTTGAAAGACTTGTCGGAAGCACTGAGAAAATATTTTCAAATTCTTCGATTGTTTCTTTGAGAGATGTTTTCTGAGAAGAATTCGAGGAAGAAACGAGATTTAAAGTGTGAAGCTCGTGCGGATGTTATTTTATACGGATAATTGAAAATTAAATTGAAAGTTTAAATTAAAAATTCATTACTTTCTGACTAAATATCAACGATATTTCTCGCAAGTAACACAATTGATTATCTTCTATAAATTAAGAGAGAACTATTTTACTTCGATATTTTATGTGTTGATACATTACACAAGGTTTTAATATTGAAAATTTTATAAGTTTGCTGCGTCGTATCAGGTGGCGACTGTAAGGCGCCCCTCGAGTGCAAAGGGTTAATGGTATAATTAATCCGAATAGATCGTTAGAATTTTATTTCACAAAATGCGTTCGTGTTTGGAGCCGAGAAGTTTCGAAAGAGTAAAATATTCGTTCCCGTTTGCTTCTTGGAATTTAGAACACCGGACCAGATTGCGCAACCTCGCGAAACCCGATTATTCGGCCAGTTCGATGTAGCTTGATCATCGATCAACCCGCGAACGCTGCCAAAACTCGGCCGTGATCGCTGGACATTGGCGAGCTCACTCGAG